TGGGGTCTAGATAGGGTCAAGGGTGGGAGGCAGCCAGGGGCCATAGGGAGGTAAGACAATGGAGGGCTAGGCTAGGTTAAGCTTAACAGAACTGGAAGATTGGGTTAGGTAACAGTTGATGGGACTATAGCCTCAGGGAAACGCCAGAGAGCTCCTAGATCAAGTGGGAGAATTCAAGGAGAACCCCTTAGACAAATGGGACCCAAATTCTTTTTGGGGTAAGGAGCAAAGGTCTCGGCTTGGGCCCACACCCAGTCACAAAGCACTATACCAGGTGTGAGGGCAGGAACAAAATTTAGAGAAGATACAGATCTCGGGATGGCCTTAAGAGAGAAGAAGGATCTGACACCCTCATCTGTACTGATGAAAACATCCCCAAAGAACATCTGATGGAGTTGGGATCTGGGCCCCAGAAAGGAAACACCCTGGGCTTTCCCACATGGCCAAATGTCTGGTGTTCACCTGAGGCTATAATCCCATGAACTGGCCTTTCATTGTGGTTACAATCAATCTACTCTTAACCTAGCCTAGCCTCCTTATGGCCCCCAGCCATTTCCCACATCCTAGCTAGGCTCCATTGTCCAGGTCCCAGGAGTTCTGTTCACCCCAGTTTACTGGCCATCCAGATCTCCTTAGACCCCTCCTCCAGTCACCCCACACTACTTGGCCACTCCTAGATCCCTCCCACAGTCTTTCTGTATATAAGGTCCATCTTGTCTCCATTAAGATGCTGGGATTCTTGTAATCTAGCTACTGCTCAGATTCTTAAAATCTAGCCAATAGCTAACTAATGTTCAGACTCCTTAAGGGTCTGCCCAATATGATGGATGTTCTAATAAACCTTGCCTTTGGCTGAAAGAAGGCTTGGATTGAATTCTTTAGGACAGGACTCATGTATTGTGATTTTGAGGTCCTAGGACCCCTGAACCCCTAAACCTTATCACATCCAATTCCTAGTTCTTTAATTCTTTACTCTCCATGCAACCTTCTGATCTGTAATTAAGTCTCCTGGACTTATGCAAATGGATGAAATAAAATGTCCTGCCAGATATATCAATTTAATTCAAACAACATTTATTAAGCATCCCTTATGTGTACCCATCCATTATGTGTATTATGGACAACACTCCAAGAAAGGCAGTGCTGCTTAGTCAAGCGCGTGAGCCTAGGGCTCAAGAAGACCTGGGTTCAAGTCCTGCCCCTCACACATTCTGACTTTGTGATTCTGGTCAAGTCATTTAACTTCTCACAGCCTAAGGCAACTCTGCAAGTTAGGGAGAAGCTGTTGATTTTCATTAGTTGAGGGTGATGAGGATGGTAGCTAGACCCCAAAAAAGGAAAAACCCTGGACTTTCCCACATGGCCAAATCTCTGGAGTTTGCCTGAGGCTATAATCCCATCAACTGGACTTTCATTGTGGCCACGCCCAATCTCCCAATTCTGTTACCTTTAATCTAGCCTAGCTCTCCATTGTCTTACCTCCTTTGGTAAGGCCCCAGGCCACTTCCCACCCTTGATCCTATTCTCCCTAGGCTACATTCTCCCTAGGCCTCCAGGTCTAGGTCCCAGGCATTCTGTCCATCCCAATTAATGGCCACTCCCATCCAGATCTTCCTTAGACCCCTCCTCCAGTCACCCCAAACTACTTGGTCACTCCTAGATCCCTCCCACAGTCCTTCTGTATGTAAGGTTCATCTTGTCTCCATTAAGATGCTCAGATTCTTATAATCTATAATCTAGCCAATAGCTTACTAATGTTCAGACTCCTTAAGAGTCTGCCCAATATGAAGGATGTCCTAATAAACCTTGTCTTTGGCTGAAAGAAGGCTTGGATCGAATTCTTTCAGACAGAACCCGTTTATTGTGATTTTGGGGTTCCAGCACCCCAAAACTTCTACACAGGGGGTTTCCTCATCAGGAATTTCTTATATCAATGAAATCACATGTCCAATTTTAAAAATGGAAGATATAAGGCACCATGCTAAGTTTGGAGATACAAGTCTTTGCTCATGAGGAGCTTACACTCTCCCCAGTGGGAAACCACATGCACTCAAATAGATCTGTGATCTCAATGATTTCATATTTGGATGGTCTGGCCAATAATACAGAGCATAACCCATCAATGCCTGTCCATCCTGTAAGATTCTTATCCGTATCCTTATATAAAGACAACGGACAAGAGTGCTGAGCCAAGAGTCAGGAAGACCTGAGTTCAAATACAACCTCAGACATTTACTAGCTGTGTGACCTTATGTCACTTAACCTCTGTCCCAGTTTCCTCAACTGTAAAATAGGGATAAAAACAGCACCCTGAAGGATTGTTGTGAGGATCAAAGGAGATATTTGGGTTTTTTTTGTTTTTTTTTCTCCAAAGGAGATATTTGTAAAGTGCTTTGCAAACCTTAAAGCATTACACAAATGCTATCATATCTAGACAGCAAAAGGAACCCATCAGATGAGATGCCTCTGTCATTTTTCTTATTTGGAAGTTTAGGTAAAGTCATAGGGAAAGGGTGGAGAATGTGCTAACCTTGGGGTTAGGGTGTGTTAGGTCTCAGGAACTGCAGAGATCAGGTTTGTCCCAGTGGGATAATGCATTTTTCTGAAGTTAGTCTTATCATAATATCCTCTTAGGCTAGGAAATTTCAAAGATAGTAGAGACCTACTTCAAGACAGAAAAACAGTAAGGTTCATCCTACCCTAGCTAGCCTGAGGATCTCTATTTACACAACTTTGAAGCTCTGTTTCTTTGACTTCCAAGGTTATTCTTTGGGGGAGAAGATATTTTCCCCAAGCTCACAGAACACACAGGTTTTATCGATTTCCTCACAATTACCATAGAAAAATTGCTTCATTTTCTCCGCTGTAGCATGAGGGGGTTGGACTAGGTGATCTCCAAAGTCCCTTCTAACTCTAAATCTAATGATTTTAATTATCAGGGATTTTTAGTTTGTAGCAATCATTTTGACTCGAATTTAAATTATTGACACATAGCACAGTAGCAGGGGTAGGACCATGTACCAAAGGCTCGCATAAACATTGGTTTGGCTAGTATTTTCCAGCATCACAAGATTTAGAGCTGGAAGAAACCTTGGAAAGTAGTAGTGTGGCATGGTTGTGAGGGTGGGGCAAGAAAGCTGGATTTAGAGTAAGGTAGACTTGGATTCAAATTCTGTCTTTAACACTTATTAAATCTGTGACCATGGGCAGGTTATCGGACTTTTTTGGTCCTCGGTTTGCTCATCAGTGAAATGTTTGTAGAGAGACAATGTTACTTAGCGACTAGAGGACCAGCTTTAGAATGTGGGAGATCTGAATTCAAGTCTTGTCACTGGGGAATACAGGCTCCATAATTTTGATCAAGTTACTTCCCTTTTCATTGCCTCAGGCACCGCCCTAAGGACATAAATTGCTTTGAGAGTGCCAATCTGAACTGGTGGTCATTGGTTGTATATTTAGATCTGGAAGGGACCTTAGAGGCCAATGAGTCTAATTCCCTCTTTTTGCAGATGAGCCACAGAAAGATTAAATGATTTGACTAGGGTCACACAGATAATAAGGGCCTGAGGTGGGAGTCAAACCCAGGTCTTTCTGACTCCGGGTTCAGTCACCTGTCCTTCAGGTCAACCAGTCTCTTCACTGAGACCTCCCTTGAAGTATTGTAAGGCACAGATGACTATGTATGTAAAGTGTTTTGAAAACTAAGGTCTATATAAATGTCAGCAATTATTGTGAAGATGGTATAGGGGAAAACAGCACTTAATTTGGAATCTGAAGTTCCAGATTCTAATACCAGCTCTTCTACTACTATTTTTAAAAAATAATTGTTTATTGAGTTTACATAAGCTCAACAAGTAATCACTTTTTAAATTTTTTTTTAGTGAGGCAATTGGGGTTAAGTGACTTGCCCCCAGGGTCACACAGCTGTAAGCATTACTTGATTTGAACTCAGGTCCTCCTGACTCTAGGGCCCGTGCTCTATGCACTGCGCCACCTAGCTACCCCTCTTCTACTGGTATTTGTGTGAATTGTGTTATGTTGTGGGTGACTTCTCTGGAGCCTGAATTTCCTCATGTGTATGAGCAAGTTGGTGACTTCTGAGGTCCTTTCCAACCAGCAAATCTTAGTAAGGAACACACTCAGACACGTTAGGTAACTTGCCAAGGTGAACCAGGTAACAACCGAGTCAAGGTTGTGACATTTGAACTCAGATCTTCTGACTCAATCCGGGACTTTTTAACAGCACAGCCGGCCGGGGTCGTGAGTATCACTGCCGCTAGGCTATACACTAATAGAAAGTAGGGATTTTGTAATTTCTAGTTTGTGCATACTTGAGTACCAGGTGCATTACTCTGTATATAGTAAGGCAGTAAACGTTTATTGGGTTTATTGTGACGAATCCCTCAGGGCACAGGGGAACATTGGAATTTAGGCGGCTAAGCGCCGTCCTCACTGGCTTAGGGGAAGAGGATGATGAAATCAACGCGGCGACTGCAACAGATTCTGCGCTCCCGCCCAACTAACTGAGCATCCTCGCAGGTGTGCCGGTGAGGCGCAGAGTGGGGGCGGAGCAGAATATACAAATAGCTGCACTTTGTAGGTTGAGGGAGGAGGGGAAACGATGCAAGGACACATTTCCTACTGCTGCACGTGCCTCGAGCTCCCCAGATTCCCTTCTTCCTTTTTTCCTTACCGCCCCACCAAGAACTTGCCTCTAGCTTGGGAGGGCCAGGCTGGCTCCCTCCCTTGCCCCCCACCCCCACCGGTTCAGCGCAGTGCATAGTGGGAATCGTAGTTTCCCCGATCTCGCACCTGCGCTGCAGAGCCGCTCCGAGAACTACAAATCCCAGTAAGTGGCGCGGCATTTTAGAGCCGGCTCCCTGGTTTCTTCTCCTGGTGGGTGTGGGAGGCTAAGAGGCCGGTCTTGTGAGTGGCTGGCGACTGCGGGATCCGCGAACCCGGAGCCGGGAGCCCGACGCGGGTGATGGTGCTGCTGCCGCCGCGGCCGCCGTTGCCGCCTGCATCCGGGGCCAGCTTGAGGAGAGCGCGCCGGCGTTAGGCGCGGGGAGGAGAAGGAGTCGACAGGCATGTGGCATCCTGCGCCGCCTTCTTTGCCAGTCCCGGGTACCTGGGCTCAGCTGGTGTGGATCGAGCGCACGGAGTTCCTCGGAGGCAGCGCTGGCCAATGACCCGGCTCCCCTGCTGATGAAATAACCTCTCCGCTCGGCCTCGGGGGCGGGGGAAGAGACTGCAGGGGGCGGCGCCCGGGGGCGGGCGGGCGGTGTGCTGATCGCGCGTTTGTTTTTGCTAGGGTCCCGGGCTAGCGGGCAGACGAGCGCCGGAGTCATGCAGCGGGCGGCAGGCTTGGTGCTGGGGCTGCGCGCCGGCTGCTGCCCGCGCTCCCCAAGCTGGGGCCGGGGCCGGGGCCGGAGCTGGAGCAGCGCGGCCGCCGAGGCCTCGGCGGTGCTGAAGCTGAGGCCGGAGAAGAACGGGCGCCAGCGGATCTTGACGCCCGAGTCCATGAACCCTCTGGTGAAGGCGGTGGAGTACGCGGTGCGGGGGCCCATCCTGCTCAAAGCTGGCGAGATCGAGATGGAGCTGCAGCGGGTGAGGGGGAGACGGGCACCGGGGAGGGGGCGCCAGCCCGCGCAGAACGCTGCCATCTCTGCCCTGCCCCCCAGTGCGTGTTCATGGACTGAAGTTTAGGAGCTAGGGGGCAGAGCCTCGTAGGAACACCCAGGCTTTAGATGGAAATGTCGGGGCCGGTTGGAAGAGATCCTCCATCCACCAAGTTCATTTTATAAAAAAAGAAACTGAGGCCCAGAAAAAGGGAGTGACTCCCCTAATGAGGCACAGAATCCTTATAAGTGGCTGAGACCGATTAGAGCCTTGGTCTTCCAGCTCCAAATCCTGACCTGTTTCTCTGGGTCTAACCTCACCTGGGCAGAGTAGGAGTCTGAGAAATCCCATCAGTTTCCGGTGTCCAACATGAAGATCATCATTTCTCTTGACCTCTCAGAGTGGCTCCTCAAGACCATTCCTTGTCACTCCTCCCTCATAGGAGACCCTTGGCACAAGAGATGTCTTTTTATCCCTTTTCCATCCTCAGGAGGCAAGGTTACTTTGATCTGGAGGGACCTCTCTCTTCTGGCTGCCCTACCCTCTTAGAGTTTGGAAGTTTTGGGGAGGCAGAATTCAGGTCCATATAGGGGAAAACACTTAGAGCTGTCCAAAACCAGAATGAAAACCTCTGAAAACGGTGAATTAGTGGTCTTTTGCATGTCTTCATGCAAAAATGCTATGACCATTTGTTGGGTTATTGTAAAGAAGACTCCTTGTCTAGAAGAGTTTGGCAAGGTGATCTTATCCATGACCTACGAGGTACCTTCCAACTCGAGCTTCTGTGATTCTGTGAATTTGTTGGTGAAGGACTCCTTGCCCCCCACTTTGATGTTGGCTGGGTTTAGGAATAGGTGGGGCTGAGAAGAGTACATTAGAATTCCTTCTTCCCTGCCTGAGCTTGTCATCTTTGGAGTTTCTGGGTTGTCTTCCAAGTTTTTATTGATGCTCTTCCCCTGCTCTCAGGCTCTCTAGTTTTCTGTGTTCTTGGTCTGCTTAGGGTTGATTTCTCTGGCATTGGTAAAATGAGCCCAACAGCTCTGCATTTCATTTTTTTTTTCTGTGACCAGGACAAGTTTGGGTTGTACTGTTTGAGTTCACAGTGGTTGAAATCCAGAGTAGTATCAAAAGCAGCACCATGGTATAATGACTTTCTGTCTCTAGAGAACAAGGCTTGTTAGAATAAGTGAAGCAGGAAGACCAATGACTTTCTGTTCCTTTCCTGTCTGTTCTACACTCCTGGCCCTAAATGTTCTCCTTCTTCATTTGAGATGTCAGTCCTCCTAGCCTCTATAGAAAGGTCCCTTCTCACCAGGCTGGCTCTATTCTGTATTCTCGGCAGGGCACTCTCTTCCGGGCAGTACCGGCTGACCCCCAGCTCCACCTGGGATCAGGCAAAGATTAATGATGATAATACTGGTCAAGATGTGTGGGGATACTCCATTCTGCTGAGTCAAACTAACACAGCAACTCAAAGTACAAGTCTCATCATTGAGGTGTCATCATCATTGTCTCCTTCCAGGCATTTAGAAAGATCACTTCTGCTTTCTGGCAAGAATTGCTTCCATTTGTTTTTAATTCCCTAAACCAGGTGTCTGTCTCCTTGGTGGTAGGAAGGGACAGAGCAGGAAATAAGTAGTTTTTGTCTTCTCTTTCGTAGTTTGGAATGCCAGAAACAATCCTCTTTGAATCTTTACTCCCAATAAACCAGATAGAAATATCCTTTAACTTTTTGTTATTGGTCAATCCTGTCTTTGCTAAATATGATTTCATAGGTGTGTAGGGCACTCCCAGTATAGAAACTTCCTTGAATTTGGCAACTCCTCTGTAACTGGAGGGTTACTTAGGACACTGAGAGATTAAACTATTTGCTGAGAGTCAGGTGGCTAGGCATTTGGCCAAGGTTGGACTTGAATCCAGGTTTCCCTGACTTCAAGGTTAACCTCTTCTATCTTGATGGCACACTGAGCTAGTAATTAAGAGAACTAGGCTCTAGTCCTGGCTTTGCCAGCAACTGTCACTGTGTCACCTTGTGCAACTCACTTAACTGCTATGGGTCTCAGTTTCCTACATTTAGAGCTGGAAGGGACCTCAGAATCCATTTAGGACAATATCTGCAGTTTACATACAGAGAAGGAAACTGAGGTCCCAAAACATTTCAGTATTATATCAGTGATGAATAGGAAAGCCAGGATTTGAACCTAAGTTCTCTAATGTCAAATCTAGCACTCTCTCTACTGGATCATGATTTCCTAACTTATAAAGTGAGGGGATTAGATGGTCTCTAATTTCCTTCTCACCAATTTTCCGTGAAATGCTTAATCTGTTTAAGACAGTCATCTCTTTTTGAAGAGTTTATGGACAGATATGCCTTTTACTGTAGTTTTTTCCAATGTTTCAACCCCATCAGTCAGATTCTTCCTAATGGTCCAGCTAGTCTTGTCCTGTTTTTCATTAAATCCATTTCCTTACATTCAGTCCTTTTATGAACCTAGAGAAAATTGATCATTGTTTTATTTTTATATCTATCTGTATATAGATATATATATCAATCACTGTTATAAGAGCTATTCTTCATTCCCTTAAAGACAATAATTACATCACTGTCCTCTTGTCCAAGTTTAAATGGCCCCAGTTCTTTAACCTGTCTCTATAGTCCCTATTTGCCATTATTATAATAATCATTGTTGCTCTCTTTAGAACCTCCTTTAGTTTCTCTGAATCTGTGACAAAAATACACTACTGCTATAAGGGGCTTCACTCTCCTTAACAATGACTCGTTGGAAGCAAATAAATGATTCTGTATGACTAGCTTTCTGTGGCAAGTCCCTCTAGGCCTCAGTTTTCTCCTGTAAAACGAGATTTGACTAAGATCAGTTTTAATGTCCTTATGTTATAGCTTAATCGATGTAGAGGTGGATGGAAACTAAGTCTTCTAATTCCAAATCCAGCGCTCTTTTTACTTTACCCTGAAGTATATCTGTGACTCTTCACCTGAGGATGTCCTAGCAACATTAGATGCTTTCTTATTAAACAGAGAGCTTTGTACTGCTGCCCAGTTTTGAGTTCTTTGCAGACATCTTATTGAGGACCACCTCTCTGTTCTTTGAAACTTGACTTTGGCATCCAGCTGAGATATGGATGGTTGTTTCTCATTCTTTTCAGTAGGTAACAGAGAGTAGAATTTGTCCACCGGCCTTAAGAGCCCGGAGGCTCTGCCCTTTCTGACTGAAGAGAAGAAAATCCATGCATTGAACTGCTGGGGGTGGGTGGGGAATGGAGAGGAAGAGATACAGGGAGAGAGGGGATGGGAGGGAAGTTAACTGAATCTGAATATATATTATGGGAACTAATACCCTTCCTAACTACCAAGAGGGCAGCTGTGCTGCTACTTTAAGCCAATTCTCTTCTCCCCCAACCAGAACTGTTGCAAGAGATGCCTAATAATTCTCCTTGCTACCAATCTTGCCTCCCTCTGATTCATCTTCCATTATATTTGTAATTTCCTTAAGGCAAAGCCAGAAAGTTTCTACACCCCTGCTCAAAGGCCTTTAGTGAATCCCTATTGCCTGTACGAATAAAATTCAGACTCTCCAGCTTATTTTTTTTCTTTTTGGCTTTTTTTTGGTGAGGCAGTTGGGGTTAAGTGACTTGGAGTCACATAGCTTATAAGTGTCAAGTGTCTGAGGCCGGATTTGAACTCAGGTCCTCCAGACTCCAAGGCCAGAGCTCTTTCCACTGCACCACCTAGCTGCTTCACCAGCTTATTTTAAGGCTGTCCACAGCCTGTCTTCAACCTACCTTTCTATGATTATTTCATATTTCTCCTCTTTACCATCTTTGTTTTCCAGCCAACTGGCCTGTTATAGAATCACCTATTTAGGAGTTGGAAGGGATCGTAGAATTTATCTAATCCAACCCCTACAGTTAACATGTGAGGAAACTAAGACTCAGTAATGAAGTTGGTTTCTCCTAAGTTTCCCAAGTGGCAGAACTGCTATTTCAACCCAAGTCCTCTGACCACAAATCCAGCAGTCTTTCCATAGCACAATGGTGGTATTTTTTTTTTCAGCTGTTACCCAAACTTGATGTTACATTTCCTTTTTTCACAAACTCACACAAATTCCCCTCACCCTGCCCCAACATCTACATGCTCTACCTCCTTATTTTCACCTCTTTTCTTCCTTCAAGAATCTGGCTTAGTCCTAAGTTTTCATGATCATTCCCTAACTAGACCCTCAGTTGTCAGTACTCTCTCTTTCTTGTCAAATTGCCTTGCATTTAATTATCTGTTTTTCATGGGATATATTCTCTATCCCTCCATCTTTTATTCCCTGCCCCTCCCCAAAATATAAGCATCTTGAGAGCTAGGATGCTTTTATTTTAATGTATATATCTCCAGTACTTAGCTCAGTGTTTTTGTGCTATAGTAGGCCTTCAGTAGACTGAATCTGATTTTGATTCGAACAATGCTCTGTAGGTGCTCAATAAATGTTGAATTGATTCCCACACTGACTCCCTACTTCTCTATGAATTTTTTTGCCACCTTGAAGCATTTCAGCCGTGACAGATAGGTACTAGGAGTAGCGTGTATAGTAATTGTTCTTGAACAGGAATTTCAAAACACAAATATAATAAACATTTATGAGGCACTTCCCTGTGCTAGACACTGGGGAAGATACAGTATTTAGGTAAGACATTTCTGATGTGAGCACGCTGATTCAAAGTCAGTAAACATTTGTTGAGCTCCTCCTACATTATATACCACATTTCTGTGACACTCCAGGGTATGTTATGAGATATGCATTATAAAGTTAGAAATCAAAAAGTGTTTTGTGGGAACTAAGGGAGAAGGCCCCCACCTGAGCTTTTCTCCATCTTGCCTCATTTTTTACTCAGTGTCTATTTAGCCAGCTTTGCTACAATGGCACTTAAGAACTAAGATTGGTACATATTGATATGCCAGGTGGGAGGTGAAGAGGATTTCA